CACTAGCAGCCTCGCACCGATGACCTATCCATGTCATCATTTACCCAGAATGCTTTGCGTGTAAATAAAATGGCCCCGTCCGTGTAATATATTTTAAAACTTTTAGTTTAAAAATGATAAAAACTGAACAGCCTACAGTATTTTTACAGTCTTTATTGCCGTTAAAATATATGTTTATAAAATAAAGTCTAATGTTACAACTAATCATGGATCCCTTTAACCTTGTGTGGTTCTGACATCTGGCTGATCACTGTGTTGCCTTGATCTTAGCTTCCCGCCTCTTCTTCCGAGTTGTAGCCTTGTTGACTATATCATTATTTTTGGGTATAACTGTCCTTTTAAATGTTTAAGTACATTTTTTCCACAAAACTTACCCTCTGTCCTCACTTTAAAAGGGTATTCATCCACCAGTTGCTGTAATTTTGAAAAAAAAGAAAAGAAAAAGAAGACATTTTACAGGACAGGAGGACTGTGTCACACCTAGGCTTTCTCTGAACCTGCAGGGTGTAGTGTGTCGCCGGTGTGTCTCCAGGCTCCCAGTGGCAGGTGACGTTGCTTCGTGCCATGAACACACAGCCAATCAGCTGAGGAGGTTGGGGTGAAACCTCCGAACTTGTTACTGGAAGAAAATTATGAAAATGTCAAATACACAATAAAGCAAAAATAAAATAGTCAAAAATAAAGAACATGGTTGTGTTTTGGAGCTCATTAAACTGTAGCTATCAACAAAAAATAAAATAAAATAAACAAAACTACACGATGCTTTGCATGAACATAAATACTATTTCTTTCCCATTTGCCACTGTTGGCAGGACATCAGCCTTCAGACACGATGGTACATGACTGTATTTTTTAATCTCACACTCATCTCTACTTCTGTGTTTGCCACAGGAAATTAATGCAATGATCAACACGATTATACTGTTTACAGTTGTTGCAAAACTTAAGTTCCTAAGAACTCTTCGTTTGAGGACATACAAGGTCAATGTGTGATAAAAAATGATAGATTTTCACTAAAGTCAGGATTAGATACCAATGTGTTTTTCTCTGCTTAACTCGTACTGTAAAAATATAGGGCCAGTTTTGCAGACAGGGCTTAAATAAAACCAGGACCAAACTAATCTGGTCTAACTTAATCCACACTAATCCAACTGCTTTCTGAGACGTTGTTTAACTTCAGATTAACTAGTTCCAGACTACAGAGTCTCTGACGAAGGATTAGACAGATCATGAGTTGGAAGCTGAATTAAAGGGGCAATATCATGTAAAATCAACTTTTTTGAGTTTTATATCTTGTTTTAATATTATACTCTCATAAAAAAACATGCCAAAAGCCTTGCTTTGACTCATTCATGCAGGTTTGAGAAATCCTGCAGCGTTTTTAGGAAGCCATGCTGAGGAGCAAAACGACAGGTGGGGACCAGAAACGACTTTTGGGACCAGAAACGCCCCTGGGACGTGTCTTTAAGCTGAGCCTCCTCATGGCGGAGTGCCCCCCCTCCCCCTCCTCACACACCTGGCCCATGACTCCTGCAGGCTCTCGGGTGAAAGTGAAAGAGAACCTTAAACTGTCTGCTGAGCTCTCAACATTAGTTCTCACTCAGTGAAGCTCTTTTCAGATTAAAAATACTTTTGAGGAAATGTATTTTCAGATACCAAGTAAACTGCATCATGGCACCCCTCCCACCCGCGAGCGCGACTGCCCCCCTCCCCCGAAACGGGCGAGACAGAAGTGGAAGGTGGTTCTTAAAGAGACAGAGGCCAATTTCAAGGCGTTTAGAAGAGGAAGTGATGAGACGATAAGTTTATTTTCTATTTAAACATAAAAACAGCATTTTAAAAACAACCAAAGGTGACATAGATACTTTATAATGGTATAGTATTTAAATATATGCCTGAGAAACACATAATATTGCCCCGTTAACAATCTACACATGGTACAAAGGTAAAGTTGCTCTGAAAACCTGTGGTGGAACTTTCCTATTGTAAATTTTAGCAGATTGTGTGTATGGAACAGGAGTTTGACTTCTGACTAAGCATGGATAAAGGAAAAAGGAAGTGTTCAAAAAAATGTCAGTGAAAATGAGAAGATACTTTTGAAAGAAATTATTTCTAAACATCCCATAATTGAGAACAAACATCATGATTCAACCACAGATTAAAAAAACGAAACACATGGATGGCAGTTGTGAATAAATATAACTCAAATGAAAAAGTTACCAACAGGACCCTCCAATAGATTTAGGCAATATTTAATTATATTATTTACAGTGTACAGATTCTTCTAATTACTCACAATTAAATGTATGTTGGCTCATATGAGGCCATATATTGCAACATCAAAATACAGCTGAAGAAAACAGCAGCCATTGCTCATTGGGAGCATTTCAATACAGGTAGGGGACCCCCAGTTAGACCACAGACCGATGACCTGGGGGATATGTTGATGATATGATATGATATGTTGATATGATGATTGAAAACCAATTGAAAACCAACAACCATTTGAAGGCATGCCAGATGATCATCTGGACAGTTCAGGTGGGGAAACTCTTCAACACTTTGTTACAATGTGTATGTCTGTGTGTATTTATTGTTCTGCTAAGGTAAGCTAGTACCATTTATGACACTAAAAATGAAAAATACTATTAATTTTATGTCTTGTATTGTAATTCTCTGTAGAAAAAAGATGACCAAAGCTTGAATCAGATGTCGGAAGAGCCAGAACAGAGTCAGAAAAATTTGACCTCTGCACCGGTGGCAGCAGCCAGTACCTTCATCCCAGGCAGCACAGCAAGAGGGAAAAGGCTGATTATTCATGAAAAACTTGCTATAGAGTTTCATGAGCAAAAATTGCGAATTGCAGTCTATAAGAACATGAACTGAAGATGAAAATCCTTCAAGTGGAGTTGTCAGTCAAAGAGATGGAGAGAGACATGAAGCAAGAGCAACAACAGCAGCAAATCTTCTATTTTTTCTAACCATACCTCTGTTGACCTTGTGTCATTATGAAATAAAAATATTCCATTGCAATCATGATTCAACCAAAATTTATTCATGAATAAACCATATTTTCTCCTCTTAACTGTTTGCAAAATGATAAATGTAGTCAAACAAAATCAAACTGACAACTTGTGGATCACTCAACTGTTTCCAGCTTCTTTATCTTCATAAAAAGTGCTGCACAGCAAAGCTGTTTCTATAAGCATGTCCACTTTTATCATTGGCTGAAACAAACTATTTCAGCTGCAGTGTTTTTGTCACAGAAATCTGTATCATCAAATTCAGTCAGCGGGTTGCTTCTGTCTCAGAGAAATCTCCTTTCTGGTCTTTGTGGTGGTCTTCCAGCATCATTGATGTAGTATAGTATAGTCAAGATAATCCATTTTGCCCATCCACAGTGAAGCATACAGCCTTTAATCTGAAGTTATTTAAGTCTTCATTTAGACCTGGATTAGCTCTAGTCTTCCTCTAAAACAGAAGATTATTTAACTCAAGACTAGGACAAGTCTGGGACTACTATAATCCATATCTAAGAAAGCTGTTTCAATAAATCCTGGTTTGAAATGTGATTTAATCTAGAAATAAGCTTAATCCCCGTATGGGAAACTGGGCCATAGAGTTTTGCATTTAAAAACAGGACAAGAAACTTTTAAAAAGTGTTGCTGGCCTCTCAACAAAATATCTAAATAATTACTGGGCACATTTTAATGACAATTTCAGAAACGTTTTACTGGGTGAACATCTAGGCCAACTGATCTTAAAAAAACACAAATGTCTCTAACTCAGTCCATTTCAAAGATGTTGAGCTAAAATCTGGTGTGGTAGTAGTTGAAGCTAATTCCCAGCACATGTTCCACACTAGCACAACACTAGCACAAGATCCTTGTTTAAAATATTATCAACTATTTGGATTCAATTCTTTTTGCCTGTTGCCTGTTAGCAAAATATCTCATGAACCACTGAGTAAATTAAAATTCTAGAAAGCAATCCCTAGATGTACTTCTTCAAATGCAAACGTATGGAGTTGACACAATTTAGGATAGCCTCCATCGACAACTGACCTCAGAAAACACAATAATGTTGATAACTCAGCTAATTTCACAGCTATTGACTTAATATTGTATGTCGCAGTAGCTGAGTCATCCCTAACATACTCAGAGTGCTGCACATTGTGCAATACTTTGGTTTAAAAAGCTTTAGCAATAACTTCTGGAGTCAATCCTGCATGCCTGTTAGCAAAATATCACATGAACCACTGGGACAGATTTTAATAAAACTTTCAGAATGTTATCATTAGGTGTACATCTACAAATGATTAACCTCTGGAGTCAATCTAGTTCAAAACGGCCACTGCACCTAACTGAACCTAGCCAACATCAATGTCTCTAAGCCAGTCAATTTTACAAATATTGAGCTAAAACTGGATGAAAAGTCATCCTTAGTACATTTTTCGAGCATTAACAGATGTTGTTTTGCTTTATAAGATTGCACATAACATCATTTACAATACTTCAGTCCGAAGGTTGATTTGTGTCTACGTTACTCGTACAACAGAGCACACATTCACAGAATGCTTTGAACTAGCAGGAAGTGGATGTTACCCAGAGAAAGTCCAGTCCCCAGCAGGAGGGTCCACACCACAGCTGAGTTTGGCTCCATCAGCACCCCTCAGGTCTCTCACTCACTTTCCTCCATGGAGCAGGCTGTTACCCAGCTCAAAGACACTGTAATGTAGAAAATAACTGTTCAGTCACCGCACAGGGTGGTTTATTATCATTTAGTGGCCCATGTCTACTATTTGGGGATGCAGTATGCGTGTGTTCATCTGTAGTGTTAGCAAAATATCTAATTGATTTGATTTGATTTGATTTATTTATTTAACAGGAAAAGATTGTTAAAAATCAAGCCTAACTCAGCATAATTGCTGTTTTACAGCAGGTTCCTGTTCTGCAGCACATAAAACACTCAGAATTACAGCATYACAATCACATCATTATACACCATAGACACAAAGACAAACAAGCATACCAAATTTCARRAAGGCAGCATTTGCAAAATAGGACRTCTAAATATGAGCACAACAAAAAGTGTCCAGCAGATGGCAGACAAGAWTCTTCTTAAAGGGCTGTAGTTTTGAAATGGACTTTATGTTTTGAGGAATGTCATTACATGCTTTAGTATAAACATAGAAGAAAGACGTCTGGCCGTAACAGTTTTTAAAAGTTGGTAATGTCAGTTGTCCTTTTGTAACAGATCTAGTTGAATGACCACTTCCAGAATTTGATTTGGGCAACAATGCACAGAGAGTTCCATAATTGGCACCTTGGAAGATCTGAAAATATAAATTAATACCACTATAAAAACATAATCCTGAAAAGTCAAAGCATCAGACAATGAAAGAACTGTACAGTGATGAGTCCAACCAGGAAGTTTTTTTATGAATTTTGTAGGCCCTGTTGTAGAGCCTAACTATGGGTTCTAAGATTTCATTTGTTTTAAGAGACCAAACAGGTAAACAGTACGACATGGTTGAGAGTATAATAGCATGAAGATAGATATTTGAAACAGAAGTAATAAACCTCTAATGAACACACTAAACTCATAATTGCATTTATTGTCACTGATCTAAATAATACCAAATGGCTCAGTTTGTAAGAGTTTACTCTGGTAGTTTTTCTAATATACTGAACGTAATTATGAAAAGCGAGCATGCACTCAATGTAAACAAAGCACTCATCTGAATTTGCTGCAAACTGTGTGGAAGCTTGAGTTACTCTGTTGACCTACATTAGGCTGACTATAGTCTGTGTGTAAAACAAACATAACCGATTAGTCTAATGTTTATTGGCTCAGTGGCCAGAGCAGTCATCCTCCAAAGAGAGACTTGGTGGTTCGATTCCACTGGCATGCAGCCACGTGTCAAGAGTGCCCATGGACGAGAAGACACTGAACTCTTCACTGCCTCTGATGTGTGCCACATGAAGGAATGCAACCTTAGCAATACAAAAATAGTTGTAACTCAGCCGATTAACTAAGCCATAATGTGGTGCAGCTGATATTGAGCATCAACATGTACATTGCACATTTTTGTCCAAAACTTTGGTTTTAATTGTTGGCATCAAAACCTGTCTGTTAGCAGAAAATCTTGAACTACTATAAAGAATTGTAACAAAACTTTCAGGTAAGTAATCAGCTGATGAACATCTACAGCTGATCAACCTAACTCAACATGGCCACTGCAGAAAGTTGACAAAGAAAAAACAAAAATGGCGATAACTCAGTCAGTTTTATAGATATTGGGATATGATTTAGTGTGGTAATAGCTGAGAGTCCTTACTTTATTCTTTGATCAATCACAGATCATGTGGGAGCTCCCAATATCTAAACAAGCTATAAGGTTTGAACAAAATGGTGTAACTCTGTCCCTTCTCTTTCAGTATTTAAACAATATTAGTTTGAAGAAATATTTTTCTTCTTTCTTTAAAATGAGTTCTAAAACAAGTTTGACAAGAACATAAGTTTTGCTTCAATGCTGCAGGGTTCTTGGAAATATTGCAACATAAATCTTTAAAAGAGGCTGACATTTGTATATGAAACTTAATTTTCCTATCTGACATCTTGCAAATGAGTTTCAGATTCAAATCATGTTTGTCACTGCTTTCATAGGGTTTCTTGTAATTTTCCCTTTTAGTTGTGATAACATCACTACTCACTGTAGTGGCTGTAGAGTTAGATCTCCTTCACAACAAGACATAAGATATTTCCCGAGGTCTTTTCAAGCAGGTTTAAGCTTTTTGTTTCAGTCTCTTTTCAGTATTCAACTTTTTTACTCGTTCACACAAGATGAGCTCTTATTAGCCTGAGCAAAACAGAATTTCCCGTTTTTTTGATTTCTTTTTACTTCTGTTACTTACGATCTGTCAGTTGAACCTGGACATGTTTGGTGTCAATAGAAACCTAAGAATCTTGGCTAAAAGCTCATTGAAACTACAGCGGGTAAAGTAAGTATTGAACACGTCACCATTTTTCTCAGTAAATATCTTACTAGAGGTGCTAATGACATGAAATTTTCACCAGATGTTGGTAACAACCCAAGTG